GGTGGTGTAACATTTTTTACCTTTTTGGGTGATCTGGCATCTTATAAGGTAGGTCTTCAAGCCTTTATTATGACATGATAAAAAAAGAGTTAACTTGTAAAAAATATTGTGAGGTATATGATTAGAAAAAAAATTTCTTGACTCACACATAAAATTAGCAGATGATAACCCAAACTGCTTTTTCTATTTTCTTCTACAGGACTACTCATTTTGTTACTTAATCTAAAGGAATAATAAAATCACATTTAATTTGTAAAAGATGTCCAATAAAAAAGCAATCAAAATTAATTTTTAAATGTGAAATTTGAAAATTAAAATATGTTAGCAGAAAAATTAGTTAATTTCAAAGTCAAAGCTGCAATTTTTTGACTCATAAATGCTCATTGATCCTCACAACTTGTTTTAATTTTCTACTTTAACCACTTAAGCCCACAAGGTCTTAGGTGACAATTCTGCCTAAAATTACATATGTGAAATAAAGTAAGAACAGCTCCCAAACTATAAATTGGAAATACAATTGTTTGTATTTGTGTTTGTATAACAGAAAGGCATTGAGGAATATTTTTCAGGTGGAACCGTTATTTTAAATGTCACCATGTCTGATTTATAAACAAAGAAACAATCAAATATTTAGGCTCACCAAAAGATTTTCTAAAATAAACACTGCAAAACACCATGAAACCCCATTTGAAACTACGAATGAACCTTTGTACACCCACATCTTGACTGTAACTCAAATGCATTTCCTTTTTATAATTTTTCATTTCAAAATTAATTTTGTTCATTTTTGCTGAGACATTTTTGCAAATTAAATGTGAAGTGTTTTTATTGATACCTTAGTCAAGACATGAAGCATTATGAAAACAAAAAAATTGAAAAAGCATTTCCATTAATCCATTTTAGAAAATGGGGACACATTTTCTTCCATACTTCAAAGTCTTCAACATTATTGACTCTATATTGGAAGTGGTCTTGAACCATTTTGCTCATATTATCTTCAACCAGTCTACTGTAACCTGGGCAGCCAAACTAATACAACATTTAAACAGCATTTTACTCTGGGAAAGAGTATGACGTAAAAACTTCATGCAACGCTCTCTGCTTTTGAAATTTTGTAGGCCGTGAAACATGTCAAGCCATCAAGGAAACTCTCAAGCGAGCGTTGCAATTGTTGGGATCTGGAGAAGTTCCACCTTTCTCCAGCAGAGTCCGCCGTGGATCCTCCTGAGCTGAGCCTTCGACACACCTGAGGCGCATCTCATCATCAGAGGATCCACAGTATATAACCTGCCTTCAGACCTTGCTTCAACGCCGCAGTGTTTATCCAGTTTGGTTAGCACCTGAGCCTAGCTTCTTCTGTGAACCTTTGTTGCTCCTGATTCCTGATTGGATTCTGATCCCTCTTTGTCTCTGCTTTCAGGAATCCAGTTTTTTCCTTGTAAGCTCTGGATGAGCTTAACCTGCCGAGCCAGCCCTCTGAGCCAAACCTGAAGACCCTTCTCTGGATTCTCATGCAGCTCTGGACTAAGAGCTGGAAACCCAAAGCCAAGGTCTGCCCTCACGCTAGAAGTAAGACGCTGAAGCGGTTATTGGACTCTGCTGAACTAAACAGTCTCTGGACCCAACAGTTCCTCTCTCAAAGCCAAATCCGGACACCTCAAGGTATAAATCTGAAACTCTCAAACTCAGACTCATCTGCTTCCAAGCTAACTGAACTGTCATCTTCACAGACTCCAATGAACCTGCCCCCAGGCCTGAACCAGTTCCTGTGTTTATTCCATGTGCTTGTGCTCAATAAAACTTGTTAAACTTTTCATCAGTTTCCGTGGTGTTCTGCATACTGGGCTTTTCTGAAACCCATCATGACAGCAATATGTCTAATCTTAATAAAGAAGCTCGGGTTCATATCTAAACTTATTTATTAACATAACGAGTCAGGAGGATACAGGAACACAGTGATATGTTCATTATTCATCTACTAATGACTTGCAACACACAGACACACATCCGGGGGGTACATCATATCTGCAGCCATTTGGTGGCAGGGGGTAAAATTGCAACTCATTAACTTATCACAAATGTTTGGATAAAAGGTGTGCTTTCTACTACGCTCTTTTGCAATTAAATTTTCATTGCAACATTTCTCCGTTTTGGTCACCAGTTTGTTGTAATTGTAGTAGAAAAGCACTGCTGCATTATGGGTAATTCTGACACTGATTTTTTTTATTTTTTATATACTCTAAAAATCCCAGAGGGAAATTACTTCTCTGCATTCAACCCATCCCCTTGGGGAGCAGTGAGCTGCCACTGTACGGCGCAAGGGGAGCAGTGTGGGGTTAAGGGTCTTGCTCAGGGACCCAGAGTGGCAGTCTGTGGGAGATCGAACTCACAATCTCAAGATTCAAAGCCCTATGCCCTAACCACTAGGCCGCCACTCCTCATACATCATAAACTCCTGCTTTCCTCGCTGTGATTGGTCCAGCCAGACTAAATGCCATTTTGTGAATGAACAAGCGTGTGAATTTATGCCATTAATCCAAATCCAAATACCTATATGCCATTATTGGGACAGAGATTTTGAGATTTAAATTTCTCAGTAATGCACGCTCAATTCCACACAGATGGTCTGCATCATGTTTAGAGAATCATTTACGATCATTTAGTATTACTATTTAAATATGATGTGATAAATTTGTGGGAGTCCTCGATAGGAGAAAAAAAAACAAAAATGTTGATACATGCGGCCCAATATTCCCCATCAACCATGTTATGTATCAACCCAAAACTATCGACTCTGGAATCGATTGTTTTTGGATAAGATTTAGACTATTTTTGTGATATTTACATAATTTGACTAATATTTTCTCCTTCCCTATAGATATAAAGATTTTACATCAAAAGGTTTACAATATCATAAAATTAATTTATCAGTAAAATTAAAGGGGAAGTCTCTTGATTGATTAGCTAAAGACAAAATACAAAAAAAATACTAATAAATAAAAAAACTCTTTTCATCCTCTGTCCCCAAACCAGAGATGAGTCCAGTAAGTAAAATCACTTCCTGCTTTTCCTTCATCCTCTTCACTCAACCAGGTGATTAGTCGCCAGTCAGTGTTGTGGAAATGGAAATGTTTGGAACAAATCTCTTTAAGTGTTTTTACTTTCTGTACATGCATTATCCACCTCTGCTCTTAACTAGAACAAAAAAGGTATAAAGTATGGTACCTTTTGTAGAGTGAGCACATTGTGTCCAAACAATGATTATAAAGAGATCTGTAAAAAAAAAAAAAAAAAAAAAGGGTATTCAGTTTTAAATGTTTAAATCTCTAACACTTTAAACAGTAATTGTCTAAGTAATTCCAATTGCTTCAGAAAAAAAAATGAATTATTGCATACTAAAGGAAACATAGATAGGAATCGTATGTTTACCTGAGTGTTTGACGTTGTTGTTGTTGAGTTCTCAACCAGTCTTCAAAGCTTTACACAGAAATCACAAGAAATGAGCGAAACAATTAAGTAAACAAAAATACATTTTTAAAACTAGATCATTTGTTAAAATTGTGTTATGAAATAATTTCTGATTTGTAAATAAACTCGAAATATATACTGTTAGGAAGACTAGTTTTGTTTTAGGGAGCCCCCTACTACATGCTAGGTGCACAAAAAGAGTTCTAATATTGATCCTTGCTTTAGGCTGCTCACAGACTTTATCGTCTTCATAGACCCAAGAAATGTTCCTTTCTATGCTGTTAGATTTCATCTGTTTAGTGTTTTTTGTGCAGTATTGCTGTTACTTGTTATCTGCTTTATTAGTATTTTCTAAATCCATGCTGTTTTTTTCAGCTTTTCAGTATTTTCCATTTGCTGTAATATTTTTTTTATTTTTGATATTTCATAGTCTTGTGAGTATCTCTATTTTTTATTATCTATTACATTTGCCACAATTATATTTTATAATGCCATTTATTATATTATCGATTACAATTGCCAACAGTGCGACATAATAGGGCATTTAAATTATTTTCAGCTCTTTGGTACATTATCCTCCATAATAAGCTGCAAGCTGTAATTTAGCGCTCACACTTTACTGAAAAGCCAGGTTTTACACAACTTCCTTATTTAGTCCTTATTTACTCCCAACTTTTCAAGCTGTTCTGTGCATATTAGTTTGTAACCATTTTTTTCAGATGATATAAATTAAAAACATATAAAACTCAGCCTTTGGTTAATATTTGTAGCTTTTACATTTACAAACACTTGAATAAGTAAAATACCAAACTATCTGACTAACCTATAAAACCTTAAAATAAATATGAAATTTCTATTTTCTTAATACATTGTTTTGTATTTTCAAGATTATAATGATTTTTTGAAAATAAAAAATTATAAACTTTTCATTATAATATTTCTCCAAATTGAATTACATTTATCTGATTATCTTACCTCGAGTCGAGTTCCTCGTCAAAGGACGACATTCTGTATTTAACCAAATACTCTGGATGTATTTCTAGATAAAATGAACATGAAGTTAGACAGCCATCTACCACTGTCAAATACTTAGAAAAAATATTACAAAATAAAGTAGGCTTATCCTGAATCGTATCTAACTGTTCATATAATACTTTCACTTGTTTTCAGCAACTTAATATCCAAGGCTTGTGCTGTTTTCATTAAGGTTCTTGAATTTTGCATACTTGTTTGACCATTAAAGCTCTAGTATTGTTTTGAGAATTTTTACTAAAGAGGTATTTAGTTTATTTGATAAAATTAATTGACAAACTTTGGCTTCCTCTGTGCTTATATCATCTCTATATAGTTCATGTTATCTTCTGAAATAGCTGAGATATTTACCTGTAGTTGCCTTTAATTTGTGGACGTTGTTCTTCCTTGTTCTTCCCTTGTCAGTGTGTTGAGTTAGAGTGATAAACTCTCTATTTCACTGAAGGGGAAGGACCTGAAGGCAGCCCTGCCCACTTGGACGATATATACATATAAACTGAACAATCTAACTCTCAGTACTTTTTTCTTCAGCCCAGCCAGACAGATCTGTGTCCACCATGGAAGACGCTTTCATCATAGCCATAGACTTTGGCACTGCCTACAGTGGATATGCCTTCAGTATAACATCCAGGGATGAAGAAATTGATCCCTATTTAAAATTTTGGGGTCAAGAGGTTGGACTGGAAACCCCAAAGGCTCCTACCTGCATCCTGTTTGATGAACATGAGGAGTTTGTCAGCTTTGGTTATGAAGCTAAAGAAACATATCTTTCAAAAAAGGGTCATGAAGCCAGGGAGCAGTACTTCTTTAACTGCTTTAAGATGGCCCTATATGGAAAAGTAAGTACAATCTGCATTCATTTTAAAGAAAGATAGGACAATTAATATTTTTGTGCCTGTGGTTACACAATTCTAATATTCAAAGCAATATACTATTGTACTTATGTTCGGCTCAGACGTCAGAAAAAAATTAAGACTATCGGAGTTTGGCAAGTGTTCAAGTCAAAAGCAGGTGCACATAATGCAATGATTTATACTCAACAGAAAATCACCAGGAATCTGAAGATTAAAGCAGCTAACGGAAAAGAAATGACGGCAATGAAAGTTTTTACAGAAGCACTGAGATTCCTGAAGGACGACGCTTTACAATATATTGCAACAAACACAGAGGGGAGGAAGTTCACAGCCTCTGATTTCACCTGGGTGCTGACTGTTCCTGCCATCTGGGATCATTCTGCAAAACAATTTATGAGAGAAGCTGCAACTCAGGTAACTAACAACCTAAACTCAAACCACCAAAAAACAGTTTTTAATGTATCTAAATAGATGATAAACATTAGTTGTCTAATTTCTCTTAGGCAGGTATTGTGCCCAAAGAAAACTCTGACCTACTAGTCATTGCCCTGGAACCAGAAGCAGCTTCAGTCTTCTGTAAAAGGCTTCCATCTGAGGGTTTCATAGCTGAAAACAGAGGAGAAGACAAACTAGACCAGTCTCCAGGAACTCAGTACATTATTGTTGACTGTGGAGGTAAAATATTTCATTTACTATTTCCATTACATACAGTAATAGAAAATAATATCTTCTCAGCAAAATTCTATTACAGACAAAATATTATTAAAATATATGATAATTAGGATTTTTCAAGCTGTTAATTTTTTTAAGTATTTATTTTTTATGTTTAGGTGTAGTACCTCTGTTCTTTAAAAAAAAAGCTTAAGAAAAATGAATTAATTAATACATACAACATATTTAGAGTTAACCCTGTACTAGGAGATAAACATTTAAACCCTGTATAAAGTAACAACAAAAATCATTGAGCTATGAAACTTCCCACTTCAGTTTTTTAAACCCTGAACAGAGAGTAGGACCAACCATTTGAACTTCCAGCTAAAGCACAGACTCTGGGCTAATAACCTCATTACCTGAATAGATTGAAAACTGGAAACTAGAACCTTGGAAACTAGACAATTTTTTTACCATCTTGACCTGAATAATGGATCCCTGCTTTTACCACATCACCATGTCTCTTGCTGCACTATGTCAGCAACATGGCAATGTAGTGTAGGACCTCAATTCTTTTTTTCCCTTTTTTTTTTTGCGGTTGACGTGGCCAAGACCTAGAACAGGAGCTAGGGCGGTTTTGCAACCAAGTGTGAAGTGGCCTGGATGAGAATCCGCTTCTCCAAATGTGAGGACATGGTTCTCGCCTGGTAAATGGTGGCTTGCCCCCTTCAGGTTGGAGAAGAGGTTCTGCCTCAAGTGGAGGAATTAAAGTATTTTAAAAAACTTTTTTTTCAAAACAGCGACGGAACGTGGAGCTGTGGATCTGCAGATCTGCAGATGCTGCAGGGGTGAGTGGAGCATCCCCCATAACTGGCACTCTGGTGAATAAGAGGAATATGCTGATGACGGTTCTCAGTCATCCAGGTCATAGTTATTCCATAAAAATTCAAAAAAATATCCACTGGACTTGGTTTCCAAGATTTGAAGACGTTTCGCCACCTCTCCAGGAAGCTTTCTCAATTCAAATGTCTGGATCTGCAGTGAGTTTGAGTCTTGTATGGACAAAGCCTTATATTGCTTGGAAACATGCAAATGGTAACCAATGAGTGGGTCGTTTGGTTCCATCGTTAGCCTGTAATATCTGAAATCTGTCTATGATTCTGAGGATCGGTCGTTAAAGGGGGGGATTGCCGTTAAGGGGGGGATTATCTCCTGTAATACCTGAAACCTGTCTATGATTGTTAAGAGTCGGCCATTAAGAGGTATTGTTCACCGGCTGGAGTGGGTAGGTCCCTCGTTCCTCTGTGATGGGGTGGGGGGTTTGGTGATATCTGGAAGGGATCATGTCTATGATTGAATTGTATGTTTTTGGATAAGAGGAATGATAATTAGAGAGCAGGGATAGAACAGCAGGTGAATGAAGTTAGTAATTAGATCAGCTGCCGGGCTGCAGTCATGACACATGTATGTCACAAGTACTCCATGTGAACCTGCTCTCATCTGTGAAGAGCAAATAGGGTACCAATGATAAATCTGCCATTACTGTTGTTTTCTGGCAAGTTCCAAACTTGCAGGAGTTTACTTACAGCTAAACACTTTAAGACGCCAGTCCCTCATACCAACCTCATGCGCGATTTTTCTTACAGTATAAGCATTTGCATTAGTGGCCTTCTGGAGGTAATTTTGAGGGTGTTGGCAGTGCTCCTCCTATTCCTTCAAGATATAGTTCTGCTGGTGGGTTGTTGCTCTCCTACAGTCTCCATGTCAACTTTTTATCGTAATGGTGTGTTTCTTGAGAATCCTGGGTAATTTTGAAGTGTTTGAAGCAGTAGGGGGCCTCTCATAGCTCAAGTGATTTGATGAAGATCTGAGTATAAATAGGAAAGTTGGACAGTGCAGGCTCTTAGCAGTAGGGGCATACACCATCTTGTGCTTTGTAGGAATTCTGACGTTTAAAAAAACAATTCACATCCTCCTCAGAAATCAGGCAGCGCAGATGAGAAGAGAAGGGTAGGAATTGCACAGCTTTTGGTGGGGGTGTGTGTAGACCATTTATGTGGGTGTGGAGTGTGGGTGAATGAAAATGTTTTTCAAGGTAAGGAGTAGATGTCATCTGTAATTCTGTATTCAAAGCCTTTGTTTATCAATAAGCAAACTCACCCTCTTTCTCCCTGTACAGAATTTTGGTTAAGGATAGTGAATCTGAAGGGAATAGTTCAAAATATCCATTTTCCACTATGCTTTATCCCTGCTGGGGTCGCGAGGAGTGCTGGTGCCTATCGGCGCCTATCTACGGGCAAGATGTTGGATACACCCTGGACAGGTCGCCAGTCTAGTTCAAAATATTAAGAACACATTTTGGAAATACAGACTGGGCAAGCTTGGGTACAAGGAGAAAGAGGCAAGCAGGAAGAGAAAATATTTGTTGAGTCAATGACTCAGTACAATCAACTGGCCTTCTTTACAGATGCTTTTAACCAATCTGACTGTATTGACTCTGTAAGGTGCCTTGAGATGATGTCTTCTTAACTGGCACTACAGTAGACAAACTGAATTTAAATGAATTTGTTAGAGTTAGTTTATTTGGAAAGAAAGCAGAAGTTGTGATTGCAAAGTAAAAAAAAAAGTTTGCCTTTGAATTTTGCTAATAAACTACAGATTAACAAGTAGTGTTTGGTTTGTTTCCTTTAGAAAGAGCATTGCTTTGACATTTTTTATTCAACAGAACTGTCGGTCAAGGTGTCATTTTTGTTTTATTTCAGGAGGAACTATTGACATCACTGTACACGAGGTCTTGGAGAGAGGAGCATTGAAAGAGCTGCACAAGGCATCTGGAAATGATTACGGAGGACAAAACGTGGATAGAAAATTTAAGGAGTTCCTGATAGAAATATTCTGTGACGGAGTTTGGGATGAATATGAACTAAACTACCCCAGTGAGGTTCAGAAAATGATGAATGATTTCAACATTTTCAAAAAAAAGGATAAAGACTTTGAAATCACCTGTTCATTGAACCTGGGAAGAGCAGCTCAGAAAAAACAAGACATTGAACTTTTCCTTGAAAAAGTTCAAGGAGTATCCTGGAATGAAGGTTCCATCAGAGTCTGTAAACAGAAACTGAGGTCTTTCTTTGAAGAGAGTCTGTGTGGGATCACTGATAATCTCAGGCAGTTATTAAGTAAAGATTTTAAGATTGAGTACATCCTGTTAGTCGGGGGATTTGCTGAGAGTGAGATTCTACGTAGACATATAACTGATGAGTTTATTGATAACTGCAAAGTTCTGTGTCCATTTAGGCCACAAGAAGCAATCCTGAAAGGAGCTGTTGAGTTCGGAAGAAACCCATCAGTTGTAGCATCAAGAAAAAGTGCTTTCACTTATGGAGTTGGTACTAATGAAATGTTTAATGAATCAATACACAGGGCAGATAAAAAAATCACAAACAATGATGGCACATATTGTACTGATATCTTTATGGACCTAGTGAAAGCTGATGAGGATGTTGGATGGAATGAAACTAGGAAACACATCTTATATCCTATAGAATCAGATCAGACACAGATGAACTTTACATTTTATCAAACCAAGAGACAAAATGTAAAGTATGTGGATGAAAGAGGGGTTGAAAAAATTGGCTCATTTGCTGTGCCATCTCCTGATATCACACGTGGACTGAGTCGTGAGGTCAAACTGGAGATCAAGTTTGGTTACACAGAAATGACAGCCACAGGCACAGACCAAGAGACGGGCATAAAACAGACAATTGAGCTGGATTTCATGAGGATATAACAGAATCAAAACCTAGAGTTTATTCAACATCACTTTCTAAAAAACACAGCAGTTGTATTATAACTTATCGTGCTGCATTCTGGTGTGCAATTTAATAATCTACTGTACAACAGAGAGATATGGAAACACGCTAAATAAGTAGGTACAGAATAAAATTCAAAGGTAATCTATGAAATTAAAGGAAAATGTTGTTAAAATGTTGTTAAATTTCAACATTAAAACTATCATCTAATTTTTTTAATAGGCTCCCAGCAATTTGTGCAATGTTTTAATGTTGCTCAAAACCTTTGCCATTTTGGAAGCCTGGATACCAGCTGCCCCGTGCTTCCCCCCACTTGCCTTACCATCCCCCAGCCCCTCTCCTCCGGCTGAAGACTCGGGTCTCATGGCTCTTTGCTGAGGTTCGGTCCAGTCAGCGGCCCAGCAGTCGACACTTCATACCCGCACCCCCAATCCAAATAAGGCAACATCAAAGAATTGACATCAACTCTGGGCTTCGTTTAGATTCGCCTGTTTTATGGTGGAAGTTCAGAATTGTGAGATTTGCAGAGAAAGGAGGTGTCGATGGGGATTGAACTTCTCTGTATGTCTCTTTTACCCACTGAACTATTGCCATTCATCTATGACAATGGAAATTCGGTTTTCTATGACCCCTTTAATTTTCTCTATGATTGTTTTTCTCTTTTATCTTATGTTGTATCAGTTACGTAGTTGCAAACATCAAGAGCTTTACTTGACTCATCTGTTATGTACTGGTGAATATGTGTTATGTTTTAAACTGATAATTTCTGCTTTTGCTAAGATACATATTACTGACATATGTTTTGGGAATTTGACATTTTTAACTTTAACTTTTTTAACTGGAACATCCCAGAAAGTTACAATTACAAGTCCGAAAATCAGTGGAACAGGATACCTGACTTCTGCATTCAAAATAAATTCTTCTCTGTTTAACAGAAGTTCAATTGTTCTTTAAATAATTTTTAGCTGTTCTCTGTGCAGCATTCAGTTGTTCAGGTTGTACTTGTGTTTAGAGGACAACATGCTTCGTCATTGTTACTATATATTTTTAACAGTGGCCATAGTGGTGACGGAAAATATGAGTGTCTAAAAGCTGAATTTTTTTTGCATTTTTATTATGTTATTGTCAATAGTTCTGTTTCATATTATCATGTGCTTAATGGAATACAAAGTAAAACTTTGAAGTTTTCTTGCCAAACCTTACTCTAAACCAGAGGTGTCAAACTACAGTCCTTGAAGGTACCATACCATACCAACTTCATTTATGAAGCACTTAATATACCGACATTATATACCGGCACTTTGTCCTTGGCACCTTTAGAAGCAAATGGTCAGCTGATCTGAGGGAACCAGAGGTTTTGTAAGAATGTAACAGCTCAGACAGATGGGGAGGGGCAAGGTCATTAAGAGCTTTAAAAACAAATAAAAAGATTATAAAATGAATTCTAAAATGCACAGGCAACCAGTGTAAGGAAGCTAAAATAGGGGAAATGTGGTCAAATTTTCGTGTACATGTTAAAAGACGTGAAGCAGCATTTTGTACCCTCTAAAGGTGGGAAATAAATAAAAAATGTCTCCTATATAAAGTGCATTATAGTTATCCAGCTGTATGGTCACAAATGCATGGATCACTGTTTCAAGATGCTCTCTGGAAAGTAAGGTTTTTCTATGGCCAGCTGCCTTAAATGGAAAAAGATGGATTTTACTACGACTCTAATGTGTGCTTCCAGCTAAAATCCAGCATCCATCTTGACCCTTAAATTTGTAACAACCAGCTTCACATAATAGGCCTAAGAGCCAAGATTGGTCAGGGAATCTACAGTGGATCTGCCAAAAATCACTACCTCTGTCTTATCTTCATTAAGTTTCAAGAAATTTAGAAATCTTCCAGACATAAAAACAGAGACCAAAGAGAGGTGGATTCTGCTTTCTTTAGTGGTAAATATGTCTGTGTGTCATCTGCATAACAATCCCAAATTTTCTAAAAATATTGCCAAGCGGAGGGAGGTACAACAAGAAAAGAAGCGGGCCTCTGATATATTATGTTCATTAAGATAAACCATAAGCTGATTATTGACTGCCTTCACAAGAATAACAAAAAAAAGAAAAAAGGGTTTATGCCATTAGCTGGCGTCTGGGACTTGTTGCTAGAATTCACCCTGCGTCCACAGGATCCAATCCACGGATTGGGCAGGAAAAGCGGGGCACCAGCTTGCATATCCTGAATGAGGCAGAGAAACTTTGCCGTGGAGCAGCCTATAATAGTACTAGCTGACCACTCCGCTTTCCAGAGCGGTAGGCTCGCTTCCATCGGAAAGGTAGAGTCCAGAAAAGACACAGGTGAGCTGGAATGCCCAGTAGCAGGGTCGAGGTTTTGTCTATAGTATAAGTCCTCGATGACCAGTGTTGGGCACGTTACTTTGAAAAAGTAATTAGTTATAGTTACTAGTTACTTCTCCCAAAAAGTAACTGAGTTAGTAACGCCGTTACTTTCAACGCCGTTAGTCCCATCACTGTCGATGACATAATTCCAGTCAAGGCTTGATTGGTCAGCAAAGTTTGGCAATCCTACACAATCAGAGAGGTTACCCTTTTAATAAAATTAAAAGCAAAAAGTAGACAAAGACAAAACAGGAGGAGCTTCAGACAGCAAGCCTCAAATAAAGGTTCCATCTTGAAAACCAAGGACAGGTCAACATTTAGATGTGTTTCTCCTATATGCTCAAACACAGCTCCATAAATTTCCTTTATCAGGATGTCACTATTCTCTGCAGAGGTCTGGTACTGGTGTGTTGAAGAACGAACTGAGGTTTGCGCAACCCTTCTCTAGGGTGTTGGAAGAGAGTCTAAGTTACTGTAGAACATTGCATTCAGGAACTGTTTTATTCTCTGTGGACTTCACCTGTTAAGGTGTCGCCATGGCTAGTTTGCTACTAAACAGTCAAGCCAGAAAAGCCACAGGTTATTGCAGGAGAGAGAGGAACATATGTGTGTACCAGGCCAAACAAAGAAGCAATTTACAGATGTCAATGTTGAGGGTTTTTATCAGATAATAACACAGTTGCAGAATGAACATACAGGAAAGGTGGGTTACTCACCCCGTTTTAAAATTATAGTTCAAAACTTGTCAGAATAGAAGAAAGGAAATGAAAATAAAATATGTTGGGGTGCCTGTTTTCACCAATGTGAAGTGGACTAAATACAGGTAAAACTACAAAGTTAGTCTACATATCACAAGGAAATGATCTGGAGGTAAAGCTAACTAATTAGTGAACCAATAGCTCCAACTCTGTTTCGCATGTCTTCAGACAAAGATGCTGTATGCACAAGCAGAAGGCACAACATATCTGTACAGCACTTCTTGTTTGAACGATTTTATCAAGGAATTTATAGCACTGATTTCCTTTATATTAGATGACCTGAAATGTTCAGGTGTTGAACTTCAGTTTGGTAAGAATGCTGGTTTGTGTGTTAAAAAAAAATACTGTCGTTCATAGAGGGTGGGCATGGAGTCATCAAAGTTGAGATCTAACAAAGGCAATCTTTTCTAGACTCAACTTTTCGGGGCCAACTGTGCTGTGATTCTTTGTGCTTCTGGGAGGGGTCTGCTTTAGGGCATTGCGCTTGGGATCCAAAGGTTCTGAGTTGAAGCCCCACTCCCATAGACTGCCACTCTGGATCTCTGAGCAGGACACCTAACCACACTGCTCCCTGGGTGCTGCACAGTTGCAGCCCACTGCATCCCCAAGGGGATGGTTTAAATGCACAGGTAAATTTCTCCAGTGTGAGATCAGTAAAGTTTAATCATTAATCTGTTTGTGTGTATGTAAACACACACACACACACATGGTGTGTGTCATCCTCAAGCTCGGGTCCTCTACCAGAGGCCTGGGAGTTTGAGGGTTCTGTGCAGTATCTTAGCTGTTCCTAGGATTGCGCTCTTCTGGACAGAGACCTCCGATGTTTTACCTGGAATCTACTGTAGCCACTCTCCCAGTTTGGGGGTCACAGCCCCCAGTGCTCCAATTACCACTGGCACCACTGCTGCTTTTACTTTCCACATCTTTTCTAGCTCCTATTTCTAAACCAATAACATAAATTAGATATTATCAAATGTAATAATAACCTCACTCATGGTGTTGCAGCACTAGCTAGACACATCACTGATAGTAAACCAATAGGATCTAATTGTCAAAATCTTCAGGTGAACTCAAAATCATAAGTATTTAATTATATTTATTTATATTTCTATTTACTTAGATTATATATTTATATATATCAGAAAGTCTGAGTTAAATATACTAAAAACAAACAAGATTATTTATGCTGAATACATATTTGAGTGTGCAGAAGTTTGTTAAAGTTTTGAATTTTAACTACTAAGAACATTGTCATATTCTTGTGCTCAGGACCAAAGTATAGACAGACGTTAGGTAGGAGCATGGTGACTTTGATCATTTAATTGAATAATGGTGGCAGAAACATAATTGTACAGTGGTGGAATTTAGAAAACTTACAGTAGGACCCAATAATACCAACAACAAAGGTTTAGTGGAGGTTTTTGGTGAATTTTTGAAAAGACCCACCTCTCCACTTTTAAAACAAATGCACATGCACAACTGTGTAACAGAACGTCCACCCTAACCACTAAATCCATCAATCACTTTTTAGAGCGGGGATTATATAGGCAAATTTATAGTAAACTCAGTTAACTGACCATTTGGACAGATGATCTCTGCTTTTTGCTACCCGTTGGTCACATAACTCCTCATGCACCACTTTAAATATTAATCACTGATGTCGAGTAGCGACAGAGGGCCGCTGTGACAGCAAATCTCATAATGCTCTCTCTGCCTAAAGCATTCTGGGATATATATGCCTCATCTGATGCCTCTCTTTTCTTCTCATACACTTCGTAGACAATATTTCTCTTACGATCCTTGGCCATTTCCAAAGAACCATGGTAAGGAAATTGAGCTTCAATAACTGTCTAAAACCGTAGCTCACCACGTT